GTGTGTGCACGTGTGTGTGTGCGCATGAAGTCTGTGAGACCTGGAGGTTTTGGCTCCATCCCTCATTTGCTGAGCAATGCTAGGCAAGTCACTTAACCTCTCTAAGCCTGTTTCACACATTTGTAAAACAAGTGTTGCTGTCCATACCTTGCCAAGTTCTTGGGAACTGATGCAGACCTGGCCCTTACATAGAGCCCAGCAAATTTAGAGACAGCCTGTGTCTCTGAGGCTCAGCCCCCACCCCCACCCCACACCCCCCACAAGAACAAAAAGCCTGGCATCTTCAAGTGTTCTCGTAGGGAGACAGCTCTTCACCAGGAACAGGCCTTTTGTCTGTAGGGAAACTGAGGCCCAGAGAGGGTGAGCAGCCAGCTCAGATCACAAAGCGGGAGCCCGGCACCATGCAAGGATGCCCCCATTGGTGGGCTCAGAGCCCCCAGGAGGAGAAGGGTTGCCCCAGTCCTTCCCAGGTCCCAGGGCTGGGCCTGCCTGACTACTCGTCTGCCCGCCAGCCCCCAGCCCCGCCCCTTAACACAAAGAAAGGGCCAAAGGGGTGGGGGAGAAGGGGCTCCGGGCCAGCTGGGCTGTGGACACAGGCTGGGAAGTGAGCGGAGACAGGAAGGAAGCTGCACAGCTGGAGGCTGGGGCCGCCATTGTCTCACCTGGGGGGTCGGGGCGCCACAGCTCCCCTCTGTCCTGCTCTGCTGCCCAGATGGGCCCGCAGCTCTGCAGGGCAGCGGGGGTCGCTGGGCCCTCCCCTCTGTGGGCCCCACCCTGTTGCTGACCCGTTCCCCCACCCAGCCTCAGTTTCCCCGTCTGTAAAACCTTAGAGAGCAAGACACGTGGGCCAGATCCATGTGCTGCCGGGAACGCCCCACAGGTGACGTCAATGACGAGTGCCAGCTCTAGAGCTTCACCTGAACCAACTCCTGAACTTGATGAGTCCCTGGGAGCTGAGGGCGCCAGCTGTCCCCAGAAGTTCAGGACTTGCCTGAGGTCACACGTGGGCAGCAGAGCTGGGGCTCAGGCCTCCTGTCTGTGCTGTCACGGACTTACTGCCTCTCTTTAATGACTCACTTGTAAAGGTTAAATTCGTGTTAGGCCTCGTCCGAACATCGCCAGTTCAATTAAGATAGAAAGATTAGGTGATAGGTAGATGATAGATCCATATCACAGGTGATACATAGATAGATGATAGGTAGACAGACAGATGATAGGTGATAGAGAGATAGAAAATAGATGGATGGATAGATAGATGATAGACAGACAGGCAGACAGAGAAGCTGAGGCCTGGAATCAAGGCTGGGGGACTCCCAGCTGTGCTAGCTCTCCCGATGTGGCCTTTAGGGCTCCCCCCTACCCCCCCCCCACACACACACACACACTCACACAGGAGAGGACAGGGAAAGGCGCACGTCTCATTTCCAGGTGGGAAGAGGAGAAACAGGAAGGACCCCCTCCCTCCACTCACAGGAAGCGGACGAGGAGGAAACTCAGGGACCTCCCAGCGGGCTGTGGGACAGGACAGGCTGGGCCTGCGGCTGCAGGGCCTGAGCTCAGTGGTCCTGGGCAGGACCAGCCGGGGCCTCCCACCCTGGCCAGGAGCCCCACCCGGCCTTCAGTGTCCTGAGAGGGAAGGGGAGGGTTCGGACCATCCCAGGGCATCAGTCTCAGGGACCCCCGGCCCCTAGCTCTGGTGGGCGTGTCCTGGGGCGGCATCGAACCACCCCACCCCAGCCCCTCTCACAGCACCCAAGCTCCTACAGCCTGCTCAGACTTTATTTATTTATTTAATTTGCTTAGACTTTATTGAAAGTGGAGCAGGAATGGGGGCCCCAGAACCACAGATCCCCTCTCCCCAACTTCCACAGGGTGGGACCCACTGGACGCCTGGTGGCTGATGGCTGAGGCTCACTCCTGGGACTTCGGGCACAGCTCAGTAGCCCCCATCCCTGCAAGCGTCCAGGACATGCTCAGCTCAGCTCCAGCCCAGCCCGGCACAGACAGGGGTGGGGTATGGACAGGCTCACCAAGGGGGGACCAAGCCCACAGCCCCCTCCCGGGGTAAGGAGCAGAGGCCCTGCAGCAGGGGGTGTGGGAGAGGAACGTTACCCTCAGCTCAGGCCCTCCTGGCCAGCTCCACCCGGGCCAGGCGGTGGTCGCTCAGCACCTGCACACGGGTGATAGCCGCCAGCGGCCAGTGGCGGTGCGTGAACTGCAGCACCTTGTGCTCCTGGGCGTGAACGTGGAAGTGCTGGGCGTCCGAGCTGACCTCCATCTGGGGGTGGAGGCCAGTGACCCACGGCCCGCCTGGAGCCTGACCCTGGTCCTGGTCTAGCTCACGTGCCCTCTGAGTCCCGTGAGCACAGCCAGCTGGCCTGAGGGTCCCCTTGCCACGTGCAGCCCCCATCATGCAGGCCCACCCCAGACCAGATGGGAGCTCTGAGCCCCAGCTGAGTTCCTTTTTCCCAGGAAGGGGGTCTGGCAGCCGAGGGCTGGGGGGGTGGGGGGAACCTCCTGTTGCACCCACCCACCCTGGGACTTCTGCATCGGTCTGTTCCCCTGTAACCATCCCCCACGGGCCCCAGGTGGGGACAGAAGTGCTGCTGGGTCCCAGCAGTGAGTCCCAGCTGATTCACAGCATCCATCCTGCGAACAGCCAGGTGGCCCACACGCTTCCACAGGTGCCCCAAGCCTGGCCCCCTGCCCCCGTGGGCCTCGCCCCCTCCGTGCCTCCCCCCCAGCCTCCCCTCCCGCCTCCCTCCACCACTGGCCTCCCCCATCCCCCATTACCTCAAAGGGCTCCCCCAGCACCAGCGGGAAGGTGCAGGACACGTCCTCCTGGCCCCAGCGGCCGCCCTGGAAGGCATTGCCCACCATGGTGGCACTAGAGAACCGAGGCTTGATGTGAAAGGCAATGTCCCCCGCCTCGGACAGGAAATTGATCTCAAACCTGGGGGGCACCATGGGGTTGTGAGAACAGCAGATGGCTGGGTACTCACCCCACCCAAAGCCAAAAAGGGGAGCCCTGGGGAGGGTGGTGTCCCTTACTTGTCTTCTTCACAGTCAGAGTGTCCCTGGACCAGCAGGCTCCAGCCCGGGGCCAGGCCCTCTGCACAGAAGGCTTCAAACTGCGGGCAAACGAGGGGACAGAGGCCCAGGGTCCGTGGAGGCCACACCCGGCCGGCCCACCCCAGGGTGTGCTGTCCACAGGGTCGGGTGGTGGGTGTCTCAGCCCGGGGCTCTGATGAGAGGGCAGCTCTACCGGGAAGGAACCCAGGTGGCTTGGGGAGCCCGCCTGGCCCTGCCCCCTTCTCCCGGGATCCAGGCCTCACCCACCTGCAGTGCCATCTCTCCAGCCTCTGCAGGCGGGCAGGGCGGCCTGGGATATAGGCAGGGGACTGGGCGGGGTGTGGGAGCAGCCGGCAGGGCACTCTGCCCTTCCCCACCCCCACTTCCCCTTTGTCCTGCCTCGCGCACCCCAGCAGGCCCTCCACGCAAGCACTAGGGACAGGCAGCAGGCTCAGGGCCCCTTTCCCAGGGCCCCATTTGGCTCTCAGACTTCACTTCTTAGGATCCTCAGACACCTCGGGAAGCAGCTTCTCCCCCATTCTTAAGGAAGGGCAGCCCAGGCCCCAGCCCAGGGTCTCCAACAGGCTCCCAGGGACCCAAACCCTCCCATTTGGTCACGTGAGGCGAGGGAGGCAAGGCCTTCTGGGGGCACAGTCTGACCACCTGGAGCCTCAAGCCTGTGTCCCCCACCCCACCCCTCCCCAGCCTCCCTTCACTGCCCGCTCAGGCTGGCTCAGCTGCCCCACGGGCACCGAATTGGGATTAGGCTGGACGCTGTGGTCAGCGCATTCCGGGGTGGGCAGAAAGGATGGGGGAGGGCATTTCCTACACCCCACACCCCTCCTGGCCTGGCCCCTCAGCACCCCTTAGCTGAGCGGGGCAGAGGGCCAGGCTGACCTGGGGGAGCATGTATGGGAGACGGGCAGTCTGTCCCCAAGATTTGGGGCAGCTGTGGGGGCATCTTGGCTGCACTGCCCAGGGAGCCAGTCCAGGGAAAAGCCAGGCTGGGCGCACGGAGCTCCAGGCCTGCTGTGCGAGCGTGTGGGTGAGTGCGAATGTGTGGTGAGTGTGCGTGTGAACCTGTGGTGAGTGTGCAAGCGTGCGGGTGAATGTGTGTGTGTGCAGGTGAGTGTGTGAGCATGTGGTGAGTATGGGACTGTGTGTTTAACACGAACCAGTGTGTGTGGACATGAGAGCTCACACGTGTACGAGGCGTGTGTGAGTGTGTGTGTGGCTCAGGTGCCCCTGCTGTCTCGAGACCCCCAGCGCACAGGGGTGCTCAGCCAAGGTTCCCAGCCCCAGGCAACCCATGTGCTGCACTCGGCCCCATTCTAACCTCGGGCCCCTGGCAGGGGTGATGCCTGCCTGGCCTCTTCCCACACACCGGTGCAGGCAAGTGCCTGGTTAGTTTTTGGCAAGGTGGTGATGCTCAGGCCAGGAGAGGACATGGAGATGGCCGTGACTGCCCACCTGTGGTGCAGGGTCGAGCAGGGGCCACCCCTCGGTGCTGCCCTCCCTGCTGGGCGCTAGCAGTGCTGGCAGGGCCTGCAGGGGGCAGCCCTGGGCAGCAGAGGTGCTGCAGGGGAGCCCGTCCACTGTGGGGTCCCGGCTCAGACTGCTGGCCTGTTGGGCACATCCACGTCCCAGCTCGGCCTGGCTGTCCTGGGGCCTACAGGCTGCAGACCCCTGGCACCTGCCTCTCCCCTCCTCCACCTGAGGAGCACCGTGGGGTGGGGGCTGGTCACAGCGGCCCAGCAAGAAGGCGAGTCCAGTCCTGCCCCTCCGCCTTCCTGTCCTGTCCCCGTCCAGCGGGTCCTGGGACCAGGCAGGCCTGGCATCACTGCTGGGGATGGGGGACACGGAGCCTGGCTCTGGGTACAGTGCTGGGTGGAGCATGCAGCCAGGGGTCTGCAGCAGGCTTCCTACCAGTCGGGCGACCTTGAACCAGTAGCCTCTGGCCTCAGTGCTCCCAGCTGCACACGGGGCTCCGCAGCCCTGCTCCCCAGTGCCACCTCTGTTCCCTTGCCTATCCCCTGGGCGGGAGGGCAGCCTGAGGCCACCACAGCCCTGGCTGAGCACAGGAACCGGGGCCATCGCCTCCTCTCTTTGGGGTCAGCAAGTGTGTTGGTGGAAGGACCCAGGAGTCAGCTGCCTAGAGCGCGCCAGCCAGGCGTCAGGGGGCTGGGGGCGGGGCTTGGCCCTCAGGTACCCTGGACAGGTGGCCCGAGTGCTGCCCTGGGAAGGCCCTGGCCTGGGCGAGGAGGCCTGAGCACCCCCTGATTTGGGCAGGCCTGTCCCTCTCTGAGCCTCAGACTACCCACCTGGGTAATGGGGAGCCTGGAGGGGGCAGCGGTGAGCCTGGCCTGTTTACCCCGCCTGGAGGTCTCAGCCCCACCCGGGAGGAGGCAGGCTCCGGGCCTCCACCTGCACCATGACACCTATACCTGGCAGGAGTGCACACCAGACCAGGCCTGTGGTCTCACCCTGCCTGACTGTGGCTTTGGAACCTCACCCACATGGGGTTGGAGCTAGGAGTGGCCAAAGCTCTCAGTGACCAGGATGCCAAAGGCCCAGAAGTCCCCAACAGAGCTGGGGGATGGAGAGAGGGACAAGGAGGCCCCACATGGCCGGCCCAGCCCTGCAGGCACACCCCAATGTCGTGGAGTCCAAGTGGGACCCCTGCCGGGCCTCATGAATCCAAGGAGGGGGGGCACAGTGCCTCCACCCTGCATTGCTGGCCAGCCAGAGCTGGTGCTGTGGGAGCAAACAGACCTGCCCATCCAGGGGCCCCCCACCCCTCCCGGATGTGTGGCTTTGCCCTGGGCTGTTGACTTTCACAGGCTACCGGGAGGCAGCAGGGTCTCCACCCAGCTCCAGTGAGAATCTTCATTCACCAGGATGGCCACCTGGGCTCCACAGCCCAGTCTCGGCCCTGGGACCTCCACTGCCAGGTGGCAGCCGCACGGGACTGGTGCTTGGAGAGGCCTGGTAAATAAAACCCTGCCCCATCTACTGGTGCTCACTGGCCAGACACTTGGCTGAGCTCATCACATGTACTGTCCCCAATGACACTAGGAAGGCAAGACTATTATCCCCATGTTACAGAGAAGGATATAAGGACTCAGAGAAGTTAAGTGGCTTGCCCAAGGTCACACAGCTAGGGAGTAGTAAAGCTAGGTTTTGAACCCAGCAGTCTGCCCCCTGGACAGGAGCCTCCCAGCAGACCAAGATGGGGTGGGGGTGGGGTATCAGGGTCAGCTTCCTGGAGGAGGAGACACCTAAAGCGGATTTTGAAGAATGAGTAGGAGTTAGAAGGCAGCAGGGAAGGGTGGCGTAGGGAGAGGCACTGCCAGGGCAGGGTGGCTGGGCCCAGCACCAGGAGGCAGGGCCTGACACACCTCAGTGGCCCCAGGTCCCCAGGGCACCCGGAGGAGCAGCGCCTCGTCTTCTGTGGAGGCCAGCACCGTTTTCATGGTCTACAGGAGTCAGGCATCATTGTGCCGACCTGAGCAGCGAGGAGACTGAGGCCCGGGCAGAAGAAGCCTCCCCCAGAGCCCCACGAGGAGGACTGAGTGCGGCCTCTGGGCTCCCAGCTCAGGGCTCTTTCCAGCCCCCGGCGGGCAGGGCAGCGCCGGGCCCAGGACACAGCCGGGCCAGCGCTCCTGTGGCTGGGCGCTTGGCGGCCTCGGCACAGTGCTGCTTGCTCTCCTCCCCGCTGCCGGGGCCGTGCCCTCCCGGTCAGGCCAGAGAGTGAGGGCAGTTTGAAAGCACCAGGCGACCATCACACAGGTGGGGAAACAGGCCCAGGGGCCGAGGTGCTTGCCGGGGGACGGTGGGCAGCAGGGGGCCCTGAGCACTGGCCTCCGCTGCCCTTCTGAGGCCCTGTGGGAGCGTGGCTGTGAGGCCTGCCCCAGGCCAGGCTAGCGCCCATATTCTCATGACCCTCCCGAGGGGGCGCTGGTGAGCCTGCTGGGTGAGGGCTTCCAGCCGCTGCACTGATGGGGACGCCGAGGCCGGTCGTGCAGGTTTTCCTGATGAGTTGCTGTGAGCAACCCTCCAGGGTCACGAGGGAGCTCGGTCCAAAGGACCTTGCTGAGACCCCAAGCCCTTGGCGCTGCCGCTTTGGGGCCGGGGCTGAGGGACAGGGCTCCTGGTAGCCCTCACAGGAAGCGGGCTGGGGCCTGGATGCGGCTGTGGGAGCCTCTTGGGCCTTGAGCGAGTGACCCACGATGGCAGCCACCTTTGAGGAAGCTCAACTAGCCCTGCAGGCCAGTCAGAAAGGCCGTGTGGGCACAAGGCCGTGGGCCAGGCTTATAGTAGCCAGCGGGAGGCCTCTGCGGCGAGGCCTCTGAGGCAGGCCCTGGCCAGGTGGCTGGCTGACGTCCTGCACGAGGCACCAGAGTGGTTTTTCCGGGTGGGGGCTGGGCTCCGGCAGCCTCCAGGGACACAGGCTGTGCTGGCTTTATAAACAGATGCGGCAGCAGCCGGACCTGAGGAAGGAAGCGCTGGGAATCCAATCAGATGGGAAAGTAGCTGGGGGGTCCTGGGGCTGGCCTGCACGTGGGGGTCCTCAGGAGCCCCCTCCCAGCACCAGGCCAGAGTCCATGAGGGCTAGAGGGGACACGGGACACCAGGAGTGGGGTCAAGTCCCCACTCTGTACAGAGGAGACTCCGAGTGCTGCCCTGTGACCTGGGGCTGGGGTAGGGGAGCCAGACCTACGTCCATCCCTCGTTCCTACATGTTTACAAAGCACCTACTGTGTGCGTTGTGAGGGGCAAGACAGAACATGTAGTGCAGAGGGAGAGGCGGAAAGCAAACAGCTCAGCAAATACCTGGAATATTGTAGATGGTGATTCATGCTAGGAAGAAAGCAAGCCGGGACAGCAGCACGGAGCTGTGCTGTGCAGTTCAATAGCCACTGACCACACGTGGCCACTGGGCACCTGAAATGTTGGAACTGAGACGTGAGTGTAAAAACAGCCCTGGATTTACAAGACGTACTGCAAAAAGTAATGTAAAATATTTCATTAATAATTTTATATTAGTTGCACGTTAAAATAATAATATTTTGGATCTATTGGGTTAAAGTATACTATTAAAATTAAGTCCACCTGTTTTAAAACAGTTTTAATACGGTCACTAGAAAAACTGTAAATTGCAGTGCAAAAACTGCAAAAAACTGTGCTTGTGTTCTATTTCTGTGGGATGGAGGTGGTGAGAGGGGAGCGTGGGGACTCAGCCAGGGCAGGGAGGGGGCTCTCAGGGGAGGTGACCGCTGCCCTGAGAACTCATGTTGAGAAAGGCCCAGCCCAGGAGACCTGGGAG